AATAAGAGCACAGTTAGCGAGTGATCAAACTTTAAAGCATATTATTCACATCATTGCATCTCTCTCTCCTAAAATTACCAAAACATTTGGTGGTTACTCACTATTTGTATGCATTTTATGCAATGCTTATAATTAGCATTTTGTGGACAGACTGATGATAGGTATGAAAGAATTGTGGCGATTATAGTAGAAAAAGATGCAATGATGTGAATAATATGCTTTAAAGTTTGATCACTCGCTAACTGTGCTCTTATTATCGTCTAAAGTCTTAGAATTATTTTACAATACATTTAGTGATTTAGTGTTTCCAAAAGTATCCAAAAGCTGTATATTTTAATACATTTGACATGTATGTGCTTTTTCGGCCATTGCTTTGCTTTTTGCGATGTAAGAGATGAGGGAATAAAGTGACGATTAAATGCAGTTTTGATCTTAAAAGAGACATAAATTAACATATCCTATAAATACAGTTAAAGCTATCGATTTATTTCGCTTTTATATAATTATAATTTATAATACATTAGATTCTACCGAATAAATAAAATTTTATTTTTTATTCAGTCATTCGTTTTCACTAAATAGTTTTAGTTATGTTATTAATTTAAATATTGATTTGTACGATATTACTTAAATTTTGAGACGTGGGTGCTAATCTATTAAACATAATAAAAATGCAAAACATTTATTAAATCTTAGTTATATTCCATTTGTAAGTCTTATGGATCAAGAGCTTTGAATTAAGTAATCCACTTTCTATTAATAGATTTTATTACAAGTATTTCCTTTGAGAGATATTTCATTTGAAAAGAGAAGTGAAAATAATAATTATTTGTTATATCTTTTAATATATAAGTACTGCTGAAATAAAATTTATGTAAAAACATGTATGTGATACATTTGCTTTCAAACTGATAATTTCTAACATTAAATCAAATGGTTGTTATATAATACCGTATGTGCATCTACTTAATAGTTAATATTTAATATTAATAAGTAGTCTCTAATTGCATTCTACTATATTTTACAGTTCTTAACGCTATATAAATATGAAATATAAAAAGCTTCCATTAGCTATCAGTCTGATTGACGTTAAACTCATTTTTAAAAAAGTTATTTTCAAACGAATGACATTTTAGGAATAAATGTAAAAATAAATGAAATCTCTTTGTCTATTAGTGCTTCCAATAAATCCTATTTTATAAAAAAGATTTATTCTATTTTTATACAAAAATCCTATTTTTATTGACATATTAATAAATTTGCCTGTTCATATTAATTGAAATTAATTATCTCTCATATCATGAAAAGATATAATACTTGTTTGAGCATTATTTTGGGTAAGATGTGACAAATTGTGTGCTATCTAGTAGATAGTATCTACAAAGTATATGTATTATTATACAAAGTTTGCACTCTTTTGCCAAACATACAGACAATGTTTGACTAAATGCTTAGAATAGGAGGAAAGCCAACAAAAGAATAAGAATAGGGGTTAGGATTTGTTTGTACAATAATTTTATGAAGTTTTTATTGTAAACCCAGTCTACATACTAGCTCCTATTAATAAACAAATAATTGCTAAATATTGTTCATAATAAAAAGTGTAAATATTTGATTAAATAATTGTATAATTGATAAACTTAATAATAAAAAGAAATGTTAATATAATATATTATAAGAGTTGATTGGCGTCTAAACACTATTATTTGAGTAAATATAGAAAACGTGTAGAAATAAATTGAGTAATTTAATAAATGAAAAAATTGAAAATCTAATTATTAGTATATGTAAGGAAATCCGTGTCTTGTCTTGTTTTGCTCAAAATATGGTCACTTGTGGTCTATTACTAATCTTTTGATGAAAATCCCATATACTTTATATACTTTTGGGCTTTTATTCTATAATTATCTGCAGATTAATTATAAAAAGTGGTCAATACTATAGTCTAGTAATAGTATTAGAGGATTTAGTTAACAAATAACATTCTACTAATAATTAATGTCTAACAAAACATTAATAAATATAGTGTTGTGGTAGTACACTACTGCTATTAGTTTTATGTAGCTGTTATTAATAAACATTTTTGCGAAATATGTTAACCAATATGATTTACTTTCCAAATGAATAAATATTGAAATCTAATAAGAAATTGGTGTTATTTATTTTGAAATTTAATTTTAACTTATAATTTTTATTGTATTATATACCTTTTTAATGGAAGTTTGATTTACAAATAATACTACTATAATTCAATTTATCTTTATTCTCATAAATAAATAATTAAATTTTCAATTATAAATAAATTAAATACTACAATATTGATTAAAATGAAATTTCACTTATTTGTTAACAAAGAATAACTAAAATCATTTTGCATACAGGTTGTTTTAATATATTGAATTAATACATTTCCATATAAAATAAAATATAAGTAATTTACACTAATTACTATACAGTATAATTACTATACATTACAATCACATTAGATTAATATTGATCAGTATTATTTAATTGATGAGCTTATATAAACACATAAATTTGAATTGAAAACAAATATAAGTATAATTGCTAAATAAATAATATCTTACAATAATATAATTTCTGCTTAACATTAAAGTAATATATTATATAAAAAATTTTAAAGTATTATAAGCTATAAAACTAATTTGAAGATTTAATTATAGATTAAATACTTCATGGACTCAGGAGTTCATGCACTCCAATACCTGGATGTGATTCAAATGAAAGACTCATCGCATAAGTCTAACTTCTATCACAATTTGAAAGGAGCTCTTTCTGCTATACCAAAGGTAGTATATTATATCAAGGTATATTATATATAGGTAGTAATCAATGCAATATTCATTATTTATAATGTTATTAATATTTTATATGTCATCATAATTAAGTCTTATGTTTATTGTATTGATTGAATTGTTTTGTGTTTTTGTTGTTGTTAAATCATCTGTATGATATTGAGGTCAGGAATCAAATTCTGGTACTTTAAAAATGTTGAGCCAATAAATGAGTATTAGGTTAGAGATTTCTATAATACCTAGATAAACTTATAAATTGCTTAGTTTTTACCAAATGAATGATCTGAACAAAGCATACAAATGAATGATCTTAAATTATTGAATATGTATGTATAAATAGATGTATGGCTTATGAATTGATTGTTTTGTTAGGATATTACTGGTGTTGTTGTCAATTAATTGTAATGATTTGCATAAAAATGATTATAATATTTAGTTGAACATTGATTGCATGGCTAATACGATTAGTTGATGAGAGTGTTTGACTGTTTGTATGTATAAATCTAATAGATAATATTGAATATATATGTTTGATGCATAGAAAATGTGGTGCCAACACATATTGCCATCAATGGAGGCTGAGCTGCAAAGCCCGGAGGTATTGGCGGCCGCTTTGCAGCCAATTATATATATGATTGAAGAATCTTCTGCTGAAGAATATCAGGAAATAATACTTCCTTTCATTCGTAACATTTTTCTAATGCCAAAGTCAGTCCAGGTTTGTATATATGTTTATTTTAATTCGCTTTCACTAATCCAATGGCGTTCCTATGCATCCAATGCCTCTATTGTCGCTCTCCCATAATATTAGTGAGAAAACGGCCCTATTTTTAATGTTTAAGAAACTTATTTCAGTGAAAGCTTATCCAAAATTCAACAAAAGTAACAAAAGTAGATTTCATTGCAATGCTAGTCTACCTTTCCCTACTTTAGGCAACAGTCACTCTATTGGAAAACATTGATGTATTGATTGGCAAAACAGCTCAAAGCGACTTAAAAACTGATGTCTTACCCATGCTTTACAGCTCTTTCGACTCGACTACTCCTCAAATTCAGGTCTAAATCAATTAATATATCGCTATTTAAATCACTTATAAGGATTCAAAATTCATTTCAACTAATCTTTGAATAATTCCTAATGTTATAAACTACAGCTATTTAATATAGCTAGTATATAATACAGAACATGTTTGTTTTATCAATTATTATAAGAATTTTATTTAAATTATATTTTTATAATTAATTTCTTTTACTATTTGTTTTACATGTTCATTGTTTCTAATCCTAATAGTAACATAGGAACTATATTTTATAGCCTTTTTATTCTATATATATATTCCTTAACATTTTCCAGTGTATTTATACGGTAAATAAAAATTTAATGAAAATTAGATAATTCAAGTTAATGGGATTTTTAAAATTTATAGATTTAATTAGAAGTTAATTTAGTGATATCAATGGTTTTAATTAACACTATATTACTATAGATAAATAACGGGCCTGTCTTTCACACACATTTTATAGTATTTTCCAATCTCTAATTTAGTTTAATAGTGAAATGTTTTAGCGATAACTCACACAATCTGTGAGGCTGCTAATAGCACTTTACATTTTAGCACTTTCACGAATCTAGTGTTGCCAACTTTTATATTTTCTCATCAAGTCTAATATTTAATTTTTGTATAACACTATTCACATCTATGCTTTAAGTGATCAATTAAATAGAGTTCGTCACATATATAATATCACGAGGTTCAAGGTGAATCTAAAATCATGGTAACACCTTTAACACAATTCTAGGCTCACATATTCGCCATTCTTCTAATTTACTCAAATATTTCAAAGATTTTTATTCATGTAATAGATATTAATAGATGAAAAGCATAAATTCAACATTATATAGTATAAATTATTAATTAAAAAAAATTAAGTAATAAAAATCTAATACAGTTATTTTTTAAATTCTTATAATCGATACCTTTTGTAATATTACATTTTAGTTGACATTTTACATTATAAATAAATTATTGAAAATAATACTTTAATTATAATTTATAATTATAGTTTATTAATCATACCTCATCACAAATCTTTAAAAATTGACTAAATATTAATTGTATTTTTTTGTTTAACAAGATTTTTTAAACAAAAGTTTGGTTAATATTTTTAAAAGATTGCAAATTATAATACCAAACAAAATACTATATTATTATACAGTATATAGGATATAATGATTATGGAATAATTATAAATAGATTTTATTAGAACTATCATTTATAATGATAGCAGTTTTTATATTTCTTTTAAAAGTAATGTATTGGGACATAAAATCCGTTTGCCCTGCTCATATTTCATACAGTACCGTAGATACAAAGTATAGTTTAATGTCAAATAAGTGTCATCAGTTTCTGAGTTCTTGACTTACCTTTTAATACAAAACTATTTCACAATAATATACCTTTATATTAGACAAAATGTTACGCTAATAAATTGACTTTATTTAAAGAATTTAGGACGTTTCCCTAAAAATGAATTGTTTAAAATTTTATATATTATGTATAGATAATTATTTTCTAATTAAACATTATAATGATTTAGCTTTTATACTTAATTGTTAAATCCAATATCTAAAATATATAACATGTAAAACATTTAAACAAATTCTGTTTGATTGATAATTTAACAAAATATGTAAATGATATCCTAATAATTGATGAAATGATAATTGAATGTTTGTATGACTGTATGATTGGTGGTGGTGATGACGATGATGGCGTATGTGGTGGTATAGTGTGCGGCGTTATCAGCCGTGGCCCAAGTCATTGACCACTTGGATGAGTCGACCATAAGAAAGATGGTTTTGCCGAAAACTAAGCAAATCTTTGAGAATAATTGTGGTGTTAAGGTATGTAAAGCTATTTTAATGAACGTTTACAGTGAATAAAGCATTGAATTAATCAAAGCCTTGCACTCAACTCAACGAACACTTCACTTTAACGAACATTATATTCGTTTCCTATTATTTAACATTAGATCCAAAGACTCTTTTATATTTCACTTACAATTCATGTCTAACACTATAATGTTTTATCTTATAGTTTATTGCAGTCTCACTATTATTTAGAAACACGTCTATTGTATTATCTTATTTTTAATGTTTTCTTGCCTTTCATTTTTCTCATAAACAGATTGAAAGCATTTCATAGAATTTTCATTTACTCTATCACTGTTTACAGTGCAGTAATTTGAAAAATAATTATTATCATTAATTATTAATATATTCTGGTACTCACGTACGGCATATATAATACGATATAATCATTATATACCGTAATACTTGCGTAAAGCATTTAATAGAATAAAACTTCTTATAAAATATTTAATTATATTCTTAGATGTGATGGAATATTACTATTAATTAGTACATAAAATATATGGATCCATATTGACACTTTAATTGAAATCATCTCACATTTATCTTACGGTCAATTAAATTAGATACATATTTACAAATATCTTTTATTCACAATTGTATTTCTATTTAATGATATCGTATTTTATCTTTAATATATTAATTAAAGTGCATATATTGTCAGTATATAATAAATTAAACCGATTACTTATATAGTGATGCCATTTAATTTCTAAACCCACTGCAAACTTTTTTAGGATGTGAAAGATTATCAAGTCAGAAATATTAAAATGATATAAAATAGTAATAATAAGACGAATCAAACCATATGTTATTTTTCATAGCATTAAAATCTAATAAAATGCAAAAATGTGTTGAATGTGACTATATTATAGTATTATATATGCATTTTTAGTAATCGTATTCTTTATGATAACATCAATGAAATATATACCAAATCTGATCTCTGCTTATCTGGGATTCAGTTTGTGATAAATCAAACCAATGCCTCTCTTTCATATAAATGTGCGCCTTTCATATGGACTCAATCCCAGGGCTCTATTGTTAGGGTAGATGTTGTGTTCATTTATTTTAAATGTAATGCATATGTATGTGATTAATAGGAAGAGTCGGTGCTCCGGGTGCAGGCAAATGCACTGATATGTGTGGAAAGAGTGATCGACAATCTCGACAAGACTGAGATTCTGGACGATGTGCTGCCTATGCTATCAAAGGCTAAATTATATGATCCTTTTATTTTGATGCCCGTTATAAGTAAGTAATCGCTCCTACAGTTACCCTTCACTACTCTCCTGTATACTATTCCTTATACTATACCTTACTTTTAAAATTTCATAACATTTCTGTAAAGAATATAAAAACTAAAATATTTGTTTTTTGTTACTTATTCTTGAAAAAGACAATTTAAAAATGTTTTATAATTGGTGTGAATGTAATCAAGAATTGGATAACAATATTTTTATCCAATTCTATAGTATTACACGTTAAAAGTTCTATAAAAATGTTTGTTAAATAAGGATTTGTTATCCAATATATCTATCAATTTGTTGGGAAAATAGATAGCCTTTGGACTAAAGTAGTAAATATAACGTATTATATAACTATTGTTGCTTTACTTAATAGGAATGTACAAACACATGTTGGGGGATAAGCGTTATGGACTTACTGTTAATTTATTAGCCACTAAAGTTATGCCAACCCTAATACCTGCTGCTGTCAGTCCTGCATTAAAATTAGATCAGGTCTGTACTCCATTCTACTTGTTTTTGCTGTCATTTCATTATTTTAATGTTACATTCAATTCATATATTGTTCTTTTAAATATTTATAGAGATATTCAAATTATTTAATTAAATTATTTAGCATAAAGTTATTGTTACAAATATTTCTAATTATAAAATTATTAATGAATAACACATGAGATTACAGAATATACTGTATAATACATATGAATATATGAATGAATAGTTCACATCACTGATGGAGTTGTTGACCGAGATGTTAGAGCACGTGTCCAAAAGCCAGAGAAATAAGATTAAGTTGGAAAAGCTGTCCATTTCCTCTCAGGAAAAGTATATACACTTTAATAACAATTATTTGCCGCTAAATACTATACGATATAACCCCGATATGTGTGTATGCTCAGGGCGCCCCCACCACAGCAACAGCACGCCATTGAGCAGCCCATCGGTTACCCCCATCGACCCCCTTCGTTGCGATTGGAGTCGCGGCGGACATCGATTAGTATGGATGATGTGGTTCGGCGCACGTCGTCGGCCTCGGCGTCGTCCAGTCCCGACTCAAACCTACTCCGAGTTCAGGCAAACCTTCCGGGAAGGCGGCACTCAGACAACACTATACAACCCCCCAGAATACTGGTTGCGCCCTCCAGTCCGACCGGCTCTTTCTCGTTATCTCGCGGTCCGAGCGCTTCCAACCTTCATATGAGACGCCATTCAAGTGTTGGACCTCAAGACCCAAGATTTTCATTCATGTCATCCACCACTCATAAGGTAACACAACGTTTGCACACTTCACTGGTTATTGATTTCAAATGTCATTTATTCGTTTCCATTTCCTATGAAATACGCTTCAATGGACAGCCATTCACTGCAAATCTCGGATTAGACTCATTCCTGTCCGGCCGCTCAAGTAGTAGTCGACGTTATTCAGCGGTTCCAACCTTTAACACAATGCCTACCTTTCATCACACTAAGAATACTTCGGCTAATTTATTGCAAACTATCGGATCAGGAGTGGTATGTAATCACAAACAACTTTATACTAAACCATTAACAATATCATACAATATATTACATTTTACAACACAATTAATTCACAATCATTTAAACATTATATTTGAGAGTAAGTGTTCAGTATTTGTAGAGATTTTAATTTAATGAGGTTTTGCTTTCGCCTAATATTCACTTCATTTTTAAGAATTTTATGAGTTCTCAATGAAAGTCTATTTTCATATTATAGTTCAAATTGGGGTATTTAAAAATATTATTTATTCATTTTTTCAAACGTTTATTTATAATTTATAAATATGATTACAATACAAACATGATTAATTGCACAAAATATTTAATTACAAAACTAATGATATTAATTAATTAATTTATATAATTTATTTGTCATTTTTTGTCAATAGCAACAACTTTTTGGAAAATGAAGTCAATTATAATTAGTTTAGTTTTAAAAGTCGAGTCCGTATTCTCCTCTTTAGGAATCTTTCGTCCATACAATGAATTGTTTGAAAATAGTTGCGTTGAGTATAACTTATATAATGATAAGTATAAGCCTCGGCTTCAGTTCCAGTAGATGTGAATTCGTGTGCAAAGAAGTGACGATCCATTCCATACGACAAACCAATTCTTGAATTTAAAAATGTCTACAATTTTCTTGAATCTAAAAATGTCTACAATTCTGTTCACAATTTTTCCATTTCTTCTAAATCTCAAATATAATGAATTGAAGTTTTGACAAAAACCTATTATTTATTATATGTTACGGACTAATACCTCCGACTGAAACAAATTATAATATAATAAGACAACCGCCGGGTGTCTCAACCGAAAACACCTAAGAATGCGAACATTTGCACAATTGATGAGTGAAACAGCCCTTCCCTGAACATAACGGCTCTTGAATTATGTTCTAAACATTTCAAACAACTCGCAAGAATTGGTAATTCATGGAAATATTATACTAGTATTCAAACATATATAAATGTGTGATATTTATGAGTAACATATCGAAAGTTTAACCACAGAATCACAATTACATGCCCTGACGTTCAACAGTAAACCTCTCATATACTGTAAATCTATAAATAGTATTGATTTTGTAAAACCAAACTCAGATTAGTTTAGAGTTCACATTATATCAATAGGTATGGAATCACAAGAGTCTTGTGGCCATTATAAGAGTGGATGAAAATTGACAACAGTTGTGAACATTGGTGCAAACAATGCCAATATTTAGTAGTGTCTCAACAGTTGTCTTCAATATTGTCATGTAAAGTGATTTTATATAGACTTTTGCAGAACTTCTAATTACGATCAAAACAACTAATCGGGGTCTAACTCATACTTTCATCGACAATATTGAATGAATAGTTAAGCGTGAATTTAGGATAAAACTAAAATGAGTTGATATTGAGGACAATCGTGCAAATGGTTATGTAATTATATTTGGCTCAAACAAAATCATAATAATACTCGACATTTCCTTGAATACCGACTCAATATATGTGTTCATATGTTTACACCGCCAATACATGACAAACAGATGTGTATAAAATATATTCTCCACATTATATTAATTAAAAACATGATAAAACCAAAATGCAATGTCATATCATTCATTCATCATGAATTTTATCAATTCTTATAATTTCACATTACAGTAGATTTACATATAAAAAAGTATTTAATTCAATGAAATCAAGTATCAAATAACAATTTATTAAATAAATGTTATATATTTAAATATATATATATATTAAAAGTTTATTTATTTTTAAAAATATTAATTTCATGTATTGAATATATAAAATTTAAATCTTATTAAATTATATTAGGACTAAAAAATTGTTAGATTTGCTAAATATTCACATGAATCATAACATATTCTGTAGATTTTGTCTTTCACTTCAAACATTTGACTCAAAATGTAGATAAAGTTTGCTTTGAGTTATAATAAATTTATTATTTAGTACATTAGTACATATTCTGTATATTCTCTGTCAAGCATTGAGTCCTTCAATGATTTTCATAAATTATATTTCAATCCCTTATTTCCTAATGAATTAAATTATGAAAACATGATTTTTCTAAATAAATTTCAAATTCAGTTATTTTATTGTTGTTCCAATCATCTCTCTCTCTCTCTCTCTCCCTCTCTCTCCCTCCCTCTCTTATAATGGCCACAAGACTCTTGTGATTCCATACCTATTGATATAATGTGAACTCTAAACTAAT